TCCTCGCCGCGACGAGCAACGCCCGCGAGGCGCTCGGTATTTCGCCGCCTCAAGTCGACGGACAGCGGCTGCATCATTCAATGCGAGGGCACGGCCGCCGGGGAGACGCATCGCAACAACGCGAGCCCGATCGCGCACGACATATTATGCTGACGCGCGGCAACGGTGGCCAGATGAAGAATTTCAACGCGAAGAGTTTCAAGAGTTTCCACAAGGGGCGCTCGATTTGCATGATGACAATGGTGAAGGACGTTTTCAGCGCGTCGAACATTGACAGCGACGCCAACTGGCTGGAGCTCGATACCACCGCCACGACGATCGCCGGATTACGAGGACTCCGATTCTTTCAAGAACGGTACCTTGACCCACGGGGTCTTCAAGTTTGCTCCCAATCTGAGAAGGAACAGTATCGAGTTAGTCCAGGCGAGCCAATGACGAACACCGAGCGCTGGTCTATCCCTGTCGAAATTCGCGGCCGTGCCATGGTTTCACACAGTTACTTCAACGATTGACGATGATGTCACAGCCCGTTTACCTTTCTTGGGAGGCAGATACCTGATGACAGATCTTGGTTGTGTGATTTACCTTGCAGGCTCTCGGGTGCATTCTATGGCCGTCAAGCTTTTGAATATACTGCTCGCGATGTATAGGAGTGGGCATCTCGCAGTTCGAATCGACGAATGGCCAGCTGCAGGTTCTCCAATGGAGGCGGGCTTCGATATTGACGCCTCTGCAGTTCCTGCGTGCGGGCGCGGCCTGCCAGAGTCCGAATCTCTTTCGCTATCTCGCCGCGATCATCATCCCGATCTCCGACCCGACCGCGAGAGCCCACATCGCCGCGAAGTGCATTGCTCTGACTGCCGAGATCACCAGCCACGAAACCTCGATAGCGAACACACATCACAACGGCCGAGCAAGCCGAGCCTAGACGTTAGAGACCAGATCGAGAATTTCTACCTGCATTTTAAACCGCACGACTGGGAACATATTCCAGGACGATCGGGCCAAAACAACCAGCAGCACGACGATGACGAGCGAAACAGCCACACGGAGATCCATCCAAACGTTCCGATTCCAGCCGAGGCGAAATACACGGACGATCCCACTGCGGTCTCGGTGCAAAGTCATTCTATGAGGCAGCTCCACACGATTTAATTTCTCCGTATCTAGAGACCGTGGATGCCGCGGAATCCCAAGCGCACCGCCGAAGACCAACCGGCCAGATGGGTGATTCTCGCACAGGCCGCGCGCGCCATTATCCGAATGTTCGACAATAATCGGCGCAAGAATATCATCGACATATTCGCGACCAAACAGCTTCCGGCGATGCGACTCTTGTGCCAGGAGAAGAGCGAGGACAGCTTCCTCCCAGATAATCGAACGGGTTCGACGACGTGGATGAGTTGCCATCCAGGCTGCCCTCGGATGCGATGTCATCCGACCAGCGGGGGGCGCGAGTGCACAGTCCCAGCGGGGAAAGTCAAGGGGCGCCTCCACTGCGGAACGGTCTGGAAGGGCGAGAGGTGCACGATCAATACGACGGAGGTGATCTTCTGCATTCTCCACGGGGCGTGCGAGATCCCAGGCGCAAGGATCGATCGCACAACCCCTTCAGCAAGCAGCTCATGCGCTCCGCCTCCCTCGCCGGCTCAGCGCTCGCCTCCCTCGCTGCGCGCTGGGCGCCCGACAGCAACGCGCAGGTCGAGCAGTAGACGCAGGACGAGATCACCGAGCGCGGAGTCGAGGGGCGACGATCACGATTCGAGCTGGGAGTGACCACCGCACGCGGAAGCAAATTAACGATGGGATAGGCTAAGCGGCGCACCGGCATGGCCAGGTCAGCCTACAACGCCCTGCAGCTCGAGAAGCGCGTCTACGAGAACCGCGTGAAGGCGAGTCGTTCTCTTCGACGTCAGCGCCGCGGCGTCGACATATGCGAGATCTTCGCGGGCGAATGTGGCGTCGCCTTGCACGCCGCCGACCGCGCTCGCGGCTGGGGCGCGCGGGCGCTACAACCAGTCGATAAGCTCCAAGGTCAAGACCTGAAGGTGCAGGAGGCCAGGAAAGAAGTCCTCGAGACGATCGACAAGTGGCAGCCGCGACTAGTCACCATCCAGTTACCGCGCGCGCGCGGGCTCCTACTCAACCGCAATATCAACTACAAGGACATGCCGGAGGTGCTGGAGGGTTTTCGTGATGAGGAGGGATGCTTCATCCCCTTCGCGAAGGGCATCTTCGACAAGCAGTGGGGCTACGGCGACCGTGCCCTGCTTGAGAACCTTGCGACGGCCAATTCGTGGCGCGAAGATGCGACCATCAAGGTGCCAGTGGAAAAGTACGCGTGCACCTCCAACATGTGCGTGTTCGGCATGATCGGCAAGAAAGGCTTACGCATGAAGAAGCTGGTCCGCTGGTTAGGCACGCGCCCACTACTGATTCAAGAACTCCTTCGACACTGCGATCACCGACACCCTCGTGAAGAAGTGCAAGGGGGAGGACCGACCGGCAACGCCGAGCTCTCACAGGTCTACGTTCGGCAGCTCGCCGACGCTATCTGCAGGGGCCTCACTAGGGCCATCGAGACGGAGGAGTTCGGGCACGGCGTCCACCAATGCATCTACTACCCAGTCACCCACGATCCGCCAGCTAAGCGCGCGCACCACGTCTGCTAAGCGGCGTCAAACATGGGCGAGGCCCGGCGGAGGAACACCGCGCAGTCAATCGTCGACGCCATGAGCCGCCGCAGCGCACCATCAGCGAAAGTGGCCGAAGGATCCGAGATGTGGAAAAAGGTGGAGGAGCTGGTCCCCTGGCAGATCCCGCACATGCAGGCCGCTTTTCAGCCGGAGGCGAAACGTCTCAAACCCGAACGCGGTCCAAATGTTCATAGGTGCTCAGTACTGCTCCAAGAAGATCAGCAGATTGTTGCCGAACGTGAATACGTTCCCGAAGCTTGTGCGCCCCGAGGACGATTCCATGCACTTGTTTGGCATGCGTTGTTCATCATTGGTCGAGCCCCTGCCGGAGAGGAACGCGCACCGCCTAGACCACCAGTGGGAGGCGAATCGCGACAACCTGTATTTGTACCCGACGAGCCTCAGCCTGCAGAGCTACAACCTGAACCTATACAACAACGAGCCGGCAATTAGATGGTTCGCCGGACCGCCACTCACTAATCAGGAGAAGCGCGCTGCCCCTGTCGTCGCGAAGATGCCTCAGAACTTGAGCCGCCCGCTGCAGGCCGATGTCACGAGATTTCTCAACTCGAGCGACGCGAGCCAGGTTGCTATCGGTCTCAGTCGTCGTTTACGGTGCAGTCCATGCGTGCGGAACGTTAAACTTCGACACCCACGACCGGCGATGATACCGCATATTGGCTCTTTCAATTCACGGGATTGATTGGATTTCTTTTACCTACCAGATGCATCGCACACTGCTCATCTGTTCCTTGGGATTCTGGAAATGTCATGTTTATTTATGGCAGTGGTTAACTGTCATACTCGTGACCCTCATCGCGTCTTGGGTATTTTCAATCTGGTTTGGCCATCCTGGGCTGGCTGTCCAGATCACGCGGCCCACGATCGCGATGGGGCACTCCAGGCAGCATTTGTTTAGCGCCTTGAAGCACGTGACGTTCCCGTCGAGAAACCACCAGCTGAAGCTCGCTGGCAGTCATGACGAGTCGAGGCTAACATCGCGCTTTGGAAGCACATGGCCGAGAAGGTGATTGACACGACGCAGCTCGCCGGCGCAGAAGACACGAAGCTCATGATTGCCTCCATCGACCAGTCACGTAATTCACGCGCGCGCCAGTGTGGAGTGTCACCCTACCAGTGGACGTTCGGCAATGACACGAGGGTTCCCGGCAGCATCGCGGAATGGCCAATGCTGCCGTCTTGCACGGCGCTATGACCGCCGACGCCGAGCTGACCAAGAGGGAACGTATCCGGGCACTTGCAGACGTGGCGTTTACCAAGTACGACAGGGCAGAAGAGGGCGATGCTACGTGTAAATCGACGTGAACGAGGAGACTACACTGCAGGGGGCCGAGATGCTTTCTGGCGACAGGCTAAGAATAAGATGGGCAAGCAGTGCCCCGCCAGGCTTAGCGCGGCTGCTGCGGTTGGTCCTAGCGGGAGCGGTGGTGCGAAAGAGAACAACGTCTGGGATCAATCTTCAGGTCATCCTATCCTAGTTTTGAAGGAGTAGCTTCAGCGCATGGGACAGCTGGGTACCTGGCGAGGAGGACCTGACCGAGCTACGCAAAGTTTCGTAAGCACCTGCTGGACGCCACCACGACGAACGAGCAGTACCACCATATGAGATCAACCCCAACGACGCCCTTGCATCCGACCTCGCGGCAGCACTACGAGATGAAGGCGACCGCGAGCACGTCCGAGGTCTACTGCCACCGCCGGAACGACCATAACCATAACCACTACAATTACCTGGAGCCGACGCCGACACAGCGAACAGCGACAACCAGGCAGAGAAGATGAGCGACGACGTCCTGCCTTCAGTCCGACCTCTACCAGCTGACGCGGAAGGAGATAGACGAGCTGCTCGACGACCTGGCTTTGCAGAACCGGGGACACCTAGTGCACCGCCAGCGTCTCGGGCGCGCCAGGTATCTACGCGTGCATCAACGGGGCCGGGAACGATCCTGCGATGCCCACTTACAAGTGCGAGCAGCACGTGCTCCTCGAGGCACCAGTCTACGAGGTCTACATCAACAATAACGGCCAGTTCACCGCGACCAAGAAGGACCAGAAGGCGCTCATCCGCGAGATACCTTGGCCCCAAATACTAGAAGAACAGCGCGGTCTATATCGAGACGTTCTGGTGCGCGAGTGGTCATCGTGGCAGCGCGTCTCAGCCGCGCAGGTGATAGGCATCAAAACCCCCAAGAACATCGAGAACGACCCTGAAGAGCGGAAGCGCATTATCCTTCCAAGAGTCTGCTATCGCGATATAAGAACGCTGGACGTGGAGTCGCCGAGATCGATGCCAAGTCCAGGATTGTGGGCATCGGCTACAACGGCCCGGACATCGTGACCCTCAGGTGCGACGCACCCACTTTGACCGGGACCGCTTTCTACATCTTACTACAGACGGTCGCCAGTTGGAATTGCAGCTTGTTCGGCGGCGACGCCTTCACGGCATTCCTGCAAGCCGACCAGACCAAGGCACAGCGTGAAAAGCCGATCTACCTACGTCAACCCGCAGAAGGCTCACCAGGTGTTCAGCGAGGTGTTCTATTGCTGGTTCAGAGGGCCATCGTGGCCATCTACGGAGTCATGAACAGCCCGCGCTTGCGGTGGAGAGAGCTACGCGACTGCCTGATCAACATCGGCGGTAAGCAGTGCATGTTGGATAAGGCTCTGTTCTGCTCTACAACACATCGGGGCGCCTTACCACGGTCATCGGCATTCACGTGAACGACCTCATCGGAGGCGCTGGTGCCAAAGACGGAGGACAACCATTCGCAAGCATCCGCCAGCGGTTCATCTTCGGCAAATGGCGGGACGACGAGCTGACCTACTGCGGCAGGCACATTACTAAGATCAAGAACGGCCAGATCCTCATCAACCAGAAGGAGTTCTGCAGCCAATGTTTTCCAGCACCGCTGCCACGCTGGAGGCGCATCGAAGAGAAGACCAATTTCGCGAGTGGAGTTGAATCGCGCCAGATGTTTGCGGGTCAGACGCGCCCAGACCTGGCAGCAGCCACTTCCGCGGGGCAAGGTTCAAATCAAACGATTTCCAACCTGATGGCAATCAACCGGGTACTTCGTGATGCACGCGACAAACAGGATGTTGGTGGGCGCGTGGTTTTACTGCAGTTATCCAGATGTGTTCTGATTACCTTCGCGGATGCTGCATGGGCTAGTGTTCGGGAGAATCAGAGTCAAACTGGCTCCATGGTCTGTCTAGCTGACAAGGACAGTTTGAGTTCGCAAGGTAATGATTCAACTTTACTTGATTGGCGTTCGCATTGCATCCGTCGCGTTGCGCGCGGGGCCCTGGCTGCCGAAGCTTTGGCGATGGATAATGGCGCTGATGCCGCATGAGTGATTCGTCATTTGTTTGCCGAAGTGTTATTTCAGAGCTTCAAGTTGGGCATATATGGTAAGTTACCGAACCATTTCGTGGCAATTAAGGTGTTACCCACTGCAAGTCTTTACGACATATTAACAACAGGAGGGACTCCCTCGGCAACTTTGGAACGTCGTTTGAGTGTCGATATCGTTGCGGTCGCTCATGTTGCCGATGAGTTTGATGATGAGAATCCGAAGTCTACCGCGTTTTGGGCGCCCACCGTCAAGCGCGCTGCGGGTCATGTGACGAAGGCCAAACCTCCGAGCCACCTACGAGATATCCAATCGAAGAACCGTCTGAGTTTGCGAGCGGATAGCGGTTTACCATCGCGAGTGAACGGATGCTTGTATTGCAGTCGCCCGTTTAGGTGTCTCGCCTGAGATGACAAGGTTTTGATTTCCATACTGACGTTTTCCGTGTATCGCCGCCGCGCGAAAGTAGGCCTGCGCGATCTCTGCGTAAGATATTGCAAGCTATCGTGCGGATCCGGGCTTTCCCAGAGCAGGGAATTCGCACGCCTGTTCGGGGGATTTTGGGCAACTGTCAAGATGGCGAGTGCAATATCTCACGCGTTTTCACCCGCCCCTAATCCCCGCTCTTTCGTCTCACACCTTCCCTTGCTTCTGTTCGCTTCTCTCGCTGCCTCTCTCCGCTGCCGTTTGGCTTCGGAGGGCCCGTGGGCTTCCGGCGACGAGATCGGCTCGCGCGCAACGGAGCCCAGTAGAAGCACAAGAGATCCCAAGAGATCTACCCAAAGGTCCCTGTGAACAGGTACCACCTCCGCAGAGCCTCAATAAACGCGATCATTGATTTGATTTCATCGAAACGACCACGATGGCGAGAACGACGTCGTCGACGACGGCGACGACGACGCCGTCGACGACGACGACCACAGCGACGACGACGACGATGACGACGACCAGAACGACGACTCGCCGACGACGACGTCGACGACGACGACGACTACTGCGGCGACGGCGAACAACGGCGACGACGACGATGATGACGACGATGACGTCGACGACGATGACGACGACGACGACGACGGCGAACGACGGCGACGACAACGACGATGGTGACGACGACGACGATGATGATGATGACGACGATGACGACGACGACGTCGACGACGTTGACGACGATGACGATGACGACGACGATTTTGACGGCGACGTCGACGACGATGACGTCGACGATGAGGACTACGACGACGTCGATGACGACGACGATTTTGACGACCACGACGTCGACGACGATAACGACGTCGATGACGTCGACGACGACTGCGACCACGACGACGACAACGGCGCCATCGGCGTCGGCGATGATGATTACATCAACGATGACGACGCGGGCGTCGATGATGACGACGACGACAACGTTGACGTCGACGGTGTTGACGACGACGACAAAGACGACAACAATGATGGCGATGACGATGACGACTATGGCGACAACGACGACGACGACGACGGCGGACGACGACGATGACGACGACGACGACGACGACGACGACGACGATGGCGACGAAACGAGCACAACGACGACGATTTTGACGTCGACGACGATTTTGACGTCGACGACCACGACGACGACGATGGCGAGGACGACGAAGATGAGGACGACGACGACGTCGACGACGACGACGACGATTTTGACGACGACGACGTCGACCGGCGACGACGACGGTGATGACAGCGACGACAACGACAACGACGTCGGTGACGACGACGACGACGCTGGCGACGAGGACGACGATGACAACGACTTCGACATCGAAGACGACGACGACAACGACAACGAATAAGTCGATGATGACGACAACGACGATGACGACAACGACGACGCCGGCGACGACGACTACGACGACGACGAAGGCGACAACGACGACGATCTCGACGACGACGACGACTACGACGATGATGACGACGACGTTGACGACGACCACGGGCACGACAATGACGACGTCGACGACGATGATGACGACTGCGCCACGATAGATGACGACGATAACGATGCTGGCGACGTTGGCGACGACGACGGCGACTGCGACGACGATAACGACGGCGACGCCGGTAAATATGATGACGGCTCTGACGACGAGGACGACGACCACGACAGCGACGACGATGATGACGATGATGATGAGCACGTCGATGACGACGACGGCGACAGCGACGACGACCACGACGATGATGAGGATGACGATGACGAAGTCGACGACGAGACTTTAACGACGACGACAAACAAACGAAGACGTTGACGATGACGACGTTTTGACGACGTCGGCGACGACGACGACGAGTTCGCTGACGACCACGACGACGACGACGGCGTCGATGTCGACGTCGGCGACGACAACGACGACGGCGACGACTCGAACGATTCTGACGACGATGATGACGGCGACGTTGACGTCGACGACGACGATGATGACGACGATGACGACGACGACGACAACGACGACGACTACGACGACAACGACGAGTACGACGACGACCACGACGACGACGACGTCGATGTCGACGTCAACGACGACGATGATGACGACGACGACGATGACGACAGCGACGACTACAACGACGACGACGACGATGGTGACGACCACGATGACGACGACGACGTCGTCGACGACGACGAAGACAACGACGACGACGACGTCGTCGACGACGACGACGACATTCACGACGATGACGACGATGACGAAGACGAAGACGACGACGACCACGTCGACGTTGACGTTGATTTCGACAACGGCCACGACGATGGTGACGACTACCACGATGATGACGACGACCACGACGACGTCGATGACGGACACGTCGACTACGGCGACGACGACGACGACGACGATGACGACGAGGGTGCCGATGACGACGACGACGACTTCAACGACGTCGACGACGACGACAACGATAACGACGACGATGATGACGACGACGACAATGACGACCAAGGTGACGACGACGAGGACGACGACGACGATAACGACGACGATGATGTCGACGACGATGACGTCGACGACGGACTACTATTTTGACGACGACGATTACGTCGACGACAACGACGATCATAACGACGACGGAAACCATGACGACGATGACGATGACGTTTACGACGACCATGGGCACGACGACGACAGCGACGACGACGACGGCCACGACGACGACGATGACGAAGATGACGCCGACGACGACGACGTCGACGACGACCATACCGATGACGACGACGATGGCGACGACGACGCAGTTGACGACGACCACGAAGATGATGACGACGACGACGATGACGACGTCGATGACGATGACGACGACGAAGAAGACGACAGCGACGCAGTCGACGACGACGATGACGATTTTTATGACGACGACGTCGGCGACGACGACGACGATGTTGACGACGACGACGACATTGCTGGCAACGACGATGATGATAAGGACAATAAACATGACGACGGAAACATCGACGACGATGACGATGACGACGATAACGACGACGGTGACGACGACGATGATGACGAAGACGATGACGACAACGACGACGACGATGACGACGGTGACGACGATGTTGACGACGACTCTGACAACGACGACATCGACTACGAAGACGATGTTGGCGACGACTCTGACAACGATGACGACATCGACGACGAAGACGATGATGACGACGACAACGACTACGTCGACGACGAGAATGGCGGCGACCACGGCGACGATTCGAACGATTCTGACGACAATGATGACGACGAGGGCAACAACGATAACGATGATAACGACGATGGCCACGATGACGACGATGACGACGACGACGACGACGACGACGACGTTGACGTCGGCGACGACGACGAGAATGGCGACGATGACGACGACGATGATGACGACGACGACGTCCACGACGACGACGTCGAAGACGATGACGACGATGACGACGACGACGATGACGACGACGACAACTACGACGAGGACGACGACGACGACGAAAGCGACGATGACGAGCACGATGACGACGACTACGACGACGATGATGACGACGACGACGACCACGACTACGACCACGACGATGACGACGTTGGCGATGACGTCGACAACGACGGCGACGACGAGGACGACGACGACGTCGACGTCGTGACGACGACGACAACGACGACGATATCGACCACGATGACGACGAGGACGACGGTGATGACGACGATGAGGTCGACGATGACGATGACGAAAACGACGACCACGGCGACGACGATGATGACGACGATGACGATGGCGAAGACAACGACGACGACAACGATGACGACGGCGATGACGACGACGCCGGCGACGACGACGACGACAGCAACAACGACGACGACAGTGATGACGACGACGACGATGACGACGACGACAACCATGACGATGACGGCGACGACGACGATGATGATGACGACGACGTCGACGACGACGACGCCAACATCGGCGACGACGACGACGGCGACCACGACTGCGACGATAACGACGACGACGACTCTGACGACGACGACGACGTCGATGACGAAGTCGACGACGACAAAGGCAAGACCGACGTTCACGACGATGATG